AATTTTGATAGCATTATTTGAATGAAACGATTTCTATAATATCGATAATTAAACGAGCATTTTTGTCCATTGTCTAAAAGTTGCAAAAATTAGTGCTTGCAAAAATTTCCGAAAATACAAAAGCTAATTTATAAGAAAGTGCTTTTTTAGAACTCAGATAGATCTAGTATTATTGAATAAAGTTTTTTTTTCCTCAGCAATCAGTATTTTTATAAATAATTCAGTGGCAATCTGACACTGACTGTTTGCAAAGAACGTTTGCAAAGGGGAGATATTTGCCTTCAAATACTGAAATACTGAAAATTTGAGTTCAGTAATCCCCATTAACGTTTGCTAAAAATATATGTAAAAATATCTGGCAAAAACAAAACCAATCAAACTTTCATATGTTTCAGCAATAATTTGCAAAATTTGCATAATAACATAATAATTTAATAGCCTCAATTTTGTCAGACCACATTGACCACATACATAATCAGATATATTTTTTAAAAGTTTTTATGCTATCCAAAATGCATATTTCAATAACAATTATTTATTCTTTTAAGGATATCAAGGAAAAAGACCCTTTAAATGCATTTAAACATTAATCCAGACTAAAGTAGAACAATATCATACTTTGGGAGCATTTAACACTGTTTCAGATTAATTAAGGTCAACCAGCTGGTCCTACTCTTTTTCAACAGCTGTAATATATTGTTGTCCATTCTTAATCGAAACAGTAATATTATTTTTGTAACATTTATGTTTTTTTCATGTTGTTTTATTTCATTTTTTTGTTTATTGTTTGGCTTAGTTTGATGCAGTTTGTTTTACTTTTAAAACCACAAGTTTGTCTTTCTTTTAATGATTGTATAATTTGTTCCACTGGTTTAAAATGAGTGCCTTAAAATATTGTAAAAAAACAAAACATGACTTGAAACTCAAACAGTGACAACAAGATTCAAAATAATGTTGGAATATGGATTTATATGGATTATGCACAACTTATTATTGTATACACTACTAGTATATTTATCATTTCATAAAACAGGAAAGTTTGCTACCAAAGAAATTATATCAGTCTATAGCATACAATTTGGCAAGGGAATTAAGAGCTAGAAATATTGCATGCACGCCTGACTATTATTGACAGTTTGTTATTTGTGATGTTGAGTTGATTGATATTTCAGTAAGTTTTTGATAGATGATGGTTATGAAATTGTATTTGTTCATCTGTTTTAATTGAAGTTTGTTTTACTTATGAATGTGTAACACTAAGGTTGTAAGTTGGAACCCTGCTTTGGCAAGGTGTGCTTGATTATAATTTAATTGACAAGGATTGCCATTTTTCCTGTTAAAGGTCGTAAGTTTTCTCAGGTTGCTCCAGCTTTTACCACCAAAACTAAAACTGCTATATTAGAGTCAGGATAACTGGAAGTGGTGTTAAACACAAACAATCAATCAATCACTTTGTAAGGTGTGATGCATGATGTCTAAGCTATCTTAGCCAGAAACAAGATTCAAAATAATGTTTGAATATGGATTTATATGGATTATGCACAACTTATTATTGTATACACTACTAGTATATTTATCATTTCATATAACAGGAAAGTTTGCTACCAAAGAAATTTTATCAGTCTAGAGCATACAATTTGGCAAGGGAATTAAGAGCTAGAAATATTGCATGAACGCCTGACTTTTATTGACAGTTTGTTATTTGTGATGTTGAGTTGATTGATATTTCAGTAAGTTTTTGATAGATGATGGTTGTGAAATTGTATTTGTTCATCTGTTTTAATTGAAGTTTGTTTTACTTATGAATGTGTGACACTAAGGTTGTAAGTTGGAACCCTGCTTTGGCAAGGTGTGCTTGATTATAATTTAATTGACAAGGATTGCCATTTTTCCTGTTAAAGGTCGTAAGTTTTCTCAGGTTGCTCCAGCTTTTACCACCAAAACAAAAACTGCTATATTAGAGTCAGGATAACTGGAAGTGGTGTTAAACACCAACAATCACTCAATCACTTTGTAAGGTGTGATGCATGATGTCTAAGCTATCTTAGCCAGAAACAAGAACAGTGAACAAAGTTAGTCATTGTATGAAATAAAAAAATTTCGTGAACTATATAAAACATCTTTTATAGGAAATACATGAACAAAGACGTATTAAGCAATATGTGTGTCAAGAATTATAACACCATAAACCCTTCTTACATGCAGAATTATTTTACAGCTTGTCATTGTATTACATAGTTAATTCTTCCCAGCCATAATTTTAAACACAAAAAGTGGAAGGGGTGAGATTGTTACCATGGCATGACATTGTTATTTTATTTTTCTATTGCCTAACCTATTGTTTATGTATATTTTTGTACTGTGCTGCAGGTTGCTTTTATAACAAAAATAGTTTAATAGTGAAGTTGATAATAAGGTCATCTTTTTTTTTTGTCTTTTTTCCTTTGAGTTCGAAGATCAATGTCATCATAAATTTATCAAGTTACATTCATTTGATGTTCGAAATTCATTTGTCGGTGAGAAATATGTATTTTTATTTATTTTGTTTGAGCCATAGCCTTGACCAGAAAGATTTGTTTCTGCAAGTCATCTTATAAAAAGATTTTGTTGAATATAGTAGTAGGTTAAATATATTCAGGAAAGCCTGTTGCTCTTATCTGTTTTTGCAAAAACGATCAAAAACTTTGTGTACATTGGCCATTTTAGGTCAAATTTGTAAATTGCAAAACCAAAGCGTCTTCACAACTGATATAAACATGTCCATATTATACCATGCTATGTTTATGCCCCACCTAGGGGCATTATGTTTTTCGGTCTGTGCGTCCGTTCGTCCGTCTGTCCTGATTCAGTTAAAGTTTTTGGTCAAGGTAGTTTTTGATGAAGTTGAAGTCCAATCAACTTGAAACTTAGTACACATGTTCCTTATGATATGATCTTTCTAATATTAATTCCAAATTAGAGTTTTGACCCCAATTTCACGGTCCACTGAACATAGAAAATGATGATGTGAATGGGGCATCCGTGTACTATGGACATATTCTTGTTATAAGATCATTTTTTATTTTGAAAACCTTGAAGTATCTTAATATTTTTTTAATTTATGGGGCCAACTAATGGCTCTTATTTTACCTCCTCCTTTCAAGTGTATATTGAGATGACTTCCTACGAAACAGTTCAACGTTTAGTAGTATGAATGGAATAGTGTTTATAGAAAATATGCGTAAGCAATGCGATATGAAGAAAAAACTTCAAATAACTTCAGAAGAATTCTCAGTGTAATTGTTGTTGTTCAGAAACACAAGACAATTAACATTAACTTTGATGACAAAGCAATAAATTGTAGTTCGTTTAAGTTTTTTTTTGTTGGTTGGTTGGTATCTTTTGTGCATCAATAAGCAAGTATTTCGTAGTGCTACTATTACTATATTTGAACATGTATTATGATCTCTATTTTGGTACAAATGTCTTTTATTTTGTATTAAAACATGTAAAATGTATGGAGAAAACAATTACAATTATCACTTTTATCGCATGATTGATATATAAAGGATAAAGGAGTTGTCATTTTGATATAAACGGTTATTAAAACTGAAACTATTGATCTTGATATTGCTTTTGCTTTTTTACCAGGCGGCACGACGTACATATCCAGTTTGTAGTATAGTGATTTAGAATTAGGCCAGTGAGTATTAAAGTCTTTTGGCAAGGCAGGGAAAAGAATGTAATTGTTTGTGTAATCAATCTTCACAGTTTCCAACCTTAAGCTTTTTAACTTTATAGAATGTTTGAAAATAATTTAGACTTAAAGATGTACACTTCACTGCTTCATAGGTGGAGAGATTTTGAAGAGTGGTGAATGGTGGTCAAGTTCAATACTGACGATTTTCTTTTTTTTTTTTTGGCTGTTAAGAAGATATGGTCCTTGAAAGATTGGAAAATAGGCATAGAAACTGGCAGGTGAACCAAGTCTGAAAACGCCATCCTAAATATCGGAAAATTGCTGTCAGTTTGACAGCTCATTCCTTGTTAATTACATACTTGAAAAAAACATATTGATTTCTTTCCCGCTTCTATTGGATGTACCATATATATCACGTGTTCCACAAGTTTCCACAGTCAGATGCACTGTGAGTATTCCTTTTGTATGTAAAAACATAAATATTGGTAGAATCAGAGACATACAATACAAGCGGTTTTATTAGTCTCCGATAGAATGCATTAAAATGGTACACATTAGGTTTTTTTCGTCAGTTTTTCAATTTCAAGACAAAGGAAATGCATGCATGTTCAATTTATTCAAGTGCTTTTAGTTTTCGAGACAAATGAATTGATAAAAAAAAGAGGAACATATCAAGCGGCACTTGAAAATATTTAGCCCAAACGTGGCCACAATAGCAAAAATTAAGAAAAAATCCACAGAATTGCAAGACCGATAAAACATAACATATGAAGAAAATGCAAGCCCTATATAGCTAGGCAGAAATTAAGTATTAACTGCGAGATGTATGTTTAATATGCTGGCTGGGAATATCATAGTTGGAAAATTAAAATCATTTCTTTTGGCGTAGTCTAGTTTTCAATTTACCCTCATAATTAATTTCTAGATGTTAGTTAAGAACTGTGACAGACTTAATTGTTTCTGTAGTATTCTTTATTTTAAATTCATTGGGTTGGATGCAGTCTCAAAAAGCTGTTTTATAAGGCCTCACTCAATATAACTGTGATGTATATGAGCTCACTCGTAGCTTTAAAAACCTAGGGTCTAATATAAGAAAAGAACTGTGGTTTTGTTAGCTATGAAATGTCATAATTACACCTTAAAGCTATGGCACAACGCATAAGTGTTAGTAATTAAAAAAGACACTAATCTCTTGTTATGCATCCATTGTATCACCTTAATAGAGCCGAACTATACATATTATTTCATTCCTTTAAACATATTACAATCATTTAAAAATATCTTTTTCAAATGCAATCGATCTTTGAACAGAGCCTAGATAATTAAACAAGTGTCGCATTTCAACAATTTCCGAAAAATCGATGTCAAAATAAGTTACCTTTAAATACTCGTTAATAAGGTAAAAAAGACGATCATATCCAAGGAAACTACAAACATAACCATCATTTTACAATACGACTATACTAGTTCTGGAAATTCCTATTCACGTTCCACATTGTATGCATATTTCTTCTTTGATTAGCGGAATAGGGATAATAACTTCAAAATGGGTAAGATATTGTTAGCATTACACTGAAAGGATAGGTGCAAAGAATAATAAAGACATTTTTCGTCATTAAATAATAAAAATTGTCGCTTAGTCAACAGATTTTCTTTATCCAAAAAAGAAATTTGTAGCTGTTTTCTATATTACACGAACGAATAGGAAATTGCTTGTCATTTCAGAAAATAGACGGTTTTCCTGAGAGTTATTTCTTGCCTTAAAGCATTGGTGTTTTTAGTTTGAAGATGGGTCTGATATACAACACATGCGTTCGAAATATAAATCTAATCACTTGCGGTAAGGAAAATAAATGTTTGTTAGAAGTGTGATCTTTTAGGCAACGCCTCAAAAAATAAAGCACTCAAAAAATTAATGAACAAAATAATTAGAGGACGACCATTTGATATTCTGGAATGGGGCAGGTTGATTATTTTTATCTAAATATCGTATTTGTGCTTAAACATTTTTCTCTATTCTTACTTTGATAATACATCTGTAAGACAAATCATTCAATGAAACGTTGAGTGTAAAAATTGTGTTTGGATGCATGCATCATATTCAATCTAATATACATCACAAAAAATCTACAAAATTAGAAATGTATATTACAATAGTATAAAGACATTCCTGTTTCCATATTGAATGCATATTTCTTCTGGAACAAATCACTAGTTTAAACCGCCTCTTGATAAGTAAATAATATCAAACAATACTTTTTGAACAACATATAGAAATATAGAAATAAGCAATCTCACTCATGTCATACAAGAAAATATTGAAACATTTAATTAATAGGTGGTGCAATATTTGTCTCTCCTGTTACCATGTTCAAAAGTAATTTTCAATTGTTTGGAAAAGGTCTGGATAAAATCTAAAGTTTGTTTTTTTATTGCCAATAAGATGGTTTTCAATAACAAAACTTCTATGAATTTTCACTCTGAGATTTGAGAGATTGCTTGTAAATTTTCCATGGTGTACTGAAAAATACCTTTTAAAATTGGTTTTCAAAGATTATGAAAATACCCACTAGCAATTCATAATTTCAGTATTTTTTCTCTTTCTAATAAATCCCAACATCAAGTTGTTTCCCTGCATATTGTTTAGCGTTTTTTGTTTTGTTTTTGGTCACAGGAACGTCCATTAACAATATATCACCATATTAAGTTCTATCCTGTCAACCATGTTACCGATAGCAGTTTTGCATTTGTGTGTGCTAAACTGCCGAGATAAATGCGTTACAAGATTTAAATTAGTTTAAATAACAATTTAACAGTTGATCTAGGAGCGGTAACAGGATAGACTTGCATTTTATGTTCGCCGATTGAATTTAATTTGTAGAAAAAAATGATACATATGATAATTAAAGAAACCGTTAGAGTCATCATACACGTTCTAAAATAGTTTGCTTTGCAAATTTCAAGGCAGTTAGAAAACAGTACACAGAATATTTGAAAGGTGTGACATTGATATGGTACGCATATAAATTACGCAAACATATTACTTAAATATATTTAATAATATAATAATAGATCTATACCGTATTTATTATTGATGTTTTGACTCGTAAATCATACAAACTTTTGTTTAAACATTTATAACTGCATTTTACATTAAAACTGAATTTTAAAAAATAGCAGATATGTACTAAAATTCGACCTTTTTTTTAAACAACCGATATGTTTCCGTAAAAAAGATCAATAGGCATTTAAATGGCTATTTGAAGTTAATAAGTAAAATGAAAAAATCAAACTGGAAATTCCTTTTTAAATGGCGAAATCAATAGCTCAAACACAACTGTCTTATTCCTGACTTGGTACAGGCATTTCCTTATGTAGAAAATGGTGGATTAATATATAGCTAGCTAAACCTCTCACTTGTATGACAGTCGCATAAAATTTCATGATATTAACGACAATGTGTGAACAAAACCAACAGACATAATAGGTAAAAATGTCAAAATACGGGGTACAGAAGCCAACATGGTATCATAATCTTAATCTTTATAAAAATAAACAAATTTGTCAACAAAGAAAACAAAATGGCATATAGACAAAGCACATAAGCAAACATGAAGGACAAGAATACAAAAAATTACCACAGTACACCAACACATTGTCGGGATGCATAAGTACCAAGCCACGCGAAAAGGATATTACCAAATATAGACTAAACAGTAAACGTTAATGATTTACAAATACAAATAAAAGAACACTATAACACGTAATTAAGATGAAAAACAACGTACCTAGAATCTATACTTCAAGACCATCATGTATTATTTGCGACGTTGATACGGAATATATATCAACAAGGTCTTGGTATCTTACGATGAGGAGTAGCATACACTAAATTGTAAAATACAACAGTCATTTCCAGTTCTTGTCAGAATCGTAACAACCATACCAGACCAGACTACCTATACCTGTTTTTTTCCTTGCTTTAATAATATTATATTACTGTGATGCAAAAAAATATCTTTATAAACTTGATCAGTCCGAGACGCCATAAACTTTCCTTAATTACCTTCACCTAGAACACTCAAACACTAAATTTGAAAGGTCAATTATGTATAGATACGTTAATATTCAATGAGCTATTTGGTAAAAGTCAGAGAATGATAAACACCACCAAAAACGAAAATGCTAAAAAATCAAACAACAAAGATGATTTATTATTAAAGGATTAAGCAATACGAATCTCATCCCATCAAAATCTACAATGAACGAGAATGCCCATGAAGAGCAAGCAGTTGCTGGTCCACTAGCAACGTCACTAGCCAACTCACTTGAGTTACAGCTCCAACCTGTATGCTACTCCACACTAGAGGCAAACTCCGTACAGTGATCGTTTCCGTTCCTGAACTATTTTCCTTTACTCCATCAGTGTAGATAGAGTAGTATGCGGATCGGGGCTGGAACTGTTGGGAGTTAGCATTAAATGTAAAGATGGGAATTGATCAACGTGTGGAGTTTGTGTTGCTAAGTTTCACGTAAAAAAACGGCAATTAATGGTATTCGTTGATGAATCATAAACCGGAGAAAGGAAATGCTTTGGTTTAAACAAAATAAAACATATCAATGGTCATCTGTGACACAATTATTCCGTAACGTCAAATGATTTATTATAAAGTAGGTTGAGCATTCATATTGAATATTTCAAATATATGTGGGTTTGTTTTTTTAACTTAGAATAATAATATCAGGCAAAAAATATCTATATGTATTTTTGTTTAATTTTTATTTCAAGTACTCTTTGTTTTCACAGATAATTAAAAATGCCGTCAATTGCATGTTAGAATTTCGCTTCTTTTTTTAACCCATCTTTAAATGTGCCCTTAATCTTGGACACCATATCCTGTCTGAGCTGAATGTTATGTACTATAACACTAGTTATTGTTTTAACTGTGTTAGATTTAACGTATGTAATACCAGGACAGGAATGCATATATATCAACCGTCTTTAATTACGGATGTATATATATATTAGAGCCTAGGTGGTCGAGTGGTCTATCGCGTCGGGCACAGTGCAAGGCGATTTGGTGCCACGATATCTCATTAGCAATAGTTCGAATCCCGGCGAGTGAAGAACAAAACATTTGCTAACGCAAATTTACAGATCTAACATTATTGGGCTGTTATTTAGACGAATTATATATAAATACATATATATATATATATATATATATATACATCAACTAATTATTTCTGTGACTGCATCTTACGATCATTTACGCTAATCTGCAACCAATTCCATCTTCATGCCTAATATATCATGTACTGTGTTACAACTCTAGATTCTACTGACGAGGAAAGGTAACACAAGGCCACCGAAAGCTGAATTCTTAGTTCAGTATAGGTGACCGAGTGGTCTGGGGCACTGGACACAGTGTAAGCGGATTGTCACGAAACATGTATCCCAATGAATGAGTTCGAATCCCGGCCAGGGAAAAACAAATATTTGCTTCCGCAAATTTGCAGATTCAACATGGTTGTGCTGATATTTATAGTAATTAAGAATATAATATGTGTTTTCAGTCGTGTATCACCTTTACTGTTAATCCAATGGATGGATCTGTCGTAGAGCTGTCACTTGTTTCGGCGCATTTATTATTTATACTGTAACTATATTACAGGTTCAGGTAATTCTAAAATGAAAAAGACTGCTCAAAGCCAAGGAACACAAACATCGATGGAATGTGAGAATCTAAAAGAAGACGTTACATCAGCTTCTGTGGTTATGTTTCCTTCTCAAAAGACAAAAAGTAAGTCACATATTGGTATTGCAAGTACCTTAAGACCGTGTATATTTACGCCAAACATTTTTCATTTTAAGCTGAAAAAATAGATTTTGCAAAATACGCTACAAATATTAAAGCTAATTGGTTTGATAAATGTAACAAAAATCTGTTGAAGTCACTTCTGAAAAATCATTTTCGTTATGACATTTGAAATTTGTAATTTTCATGAGATTACATTATTTGATTTCATGAGGATAATATAAAAAGTAATAATAAGTTTGTCTTTAAAATATTTCATCTTATCAACAGTTTGAATACATTAAAACATTCGAATCTGATTGTTTTAGAAAAAAACAAATTTCAATTTCCTTCTAAAGAACAAAATATTGAAATTGCTAACCTTAAGCATTTTTCAATTTGCCTTAAAAAATTGAAAAATGAAAAATGCTCGAACGTGGAGCATTTTTCAATTTGCCTTTAAAATTGAAAAATGAAAAATGTCCCGTATTGGTTGAATTTTCGTCTTTAGAAAATTTTCTCAAAAATGAAAATGTTTTTGTGTGGAGCATTTTTCATTTTTCAAATTTATCAAAGATATTGAAAAATAGATAATCAAATTATTTTTTCATTCATTGTTAACACTTTAGAAGTTTTGTTTTTTTATGCTTTAAATATAATACACATATGTGTATGTGTGAACCCGTATATACACATGTATTACCTTACCCCGAAAAGATAGAACAACAACGCACCAGCAAAACTACTTGATGTGGCGCAGGATTATTATGCAATTGTTATTTCCCTTGTTTAAAACCATGAATTTTATATTTCCCTATTTTGTTATTTACATTCAGGTTAACTAAATATTCTCTATATATCTGTTAAATCAAATAGATATTGGTATGTTGAATTCATTGATAAAGATATTTATTTTTACTCTCAAGTTTAGTATTTGTATCGTTGCAAGACATTTGTAAACTTCTTTTAAAAGTTAATGTACATTGAATATAAGATCTGAGCAATATGCCTGTATATAGATCAAAGCATAACTATGTCTGCTCTTAAAAACACGTATTTGTGGTAGCTATCCAAAGGAATATGCATAGTTGAAAGCAATAACAATGTGCCCTAAGCCCTCAACGACTAAATAATTTACCCGAAGCCGAGAGAGTTGACCTGAATGTAAAGTAAATAAAAAAATATTGAAACAGGAAATTTTATTAACATAAAATTTCGTACTTTCATGCACTGGCTACGGGTTTGGTGATACCCTCGGTGACAACCTAGAAAAGGTGTAAAGATAAAAACAACACATAGGAAAGCTGTTCTTTTCCCAGTCTCCCTGTATAAGGTTGGTGAATATGCCATATTCCATCTAAATACGGCTTATTGCTCCATTTCTTAACTAGATAAAATGATATAATTTTCACTGTTTTTGGTTTTTATTTACTTGGCTATTTAGATACCAATAGTGCTTTAACATTTGGCATCCATCGTCTCTGTTTACAACTAGAACAAGCTGGGGTCCACATCTCCGAATCTCAATCAAAATTACTCATGCTACATTTTGGTCCCGCGAGTTGGATGTTGAATTTTACAGCATTTTTTCTGTTTTTAACTGAAATACATTATTTTGGGAAAACTAATCAGGAATGAAGCAGACATTTAGTCAGTGCTTGGTGGAATTAGACGCGACTGTCTTCAGGAGACAAGTTTTGAAGATTTAGGTGTATAACTGTTCCTGTGGTCTTTTATTTTTATAGTATGGTTTATTTGGTAAATGTATAGTCATAATAGGTTTGATGTTGTCAAAACTGATATTGCTGATTACTTTGTTCATTTTGAGACAGATTTTCTATTATTTGGAATGAATGTGAGGTGGCATTTCAGTTAAAAATGAACGACGTTCCCTTGTCACCATCTTACGGTGTTTATATATCTCAACTTGTACGATTCGCTCGTGTATGTAACAATGTTTTAGATTTTAACGAGAGAAATTTATGTATTACTGAAAAATTATTACACTAGGGTTTTCGATATCACAAACTAGTCAAAACATTTACTAAATTTTATCATCGGTATAAGGACATCATTCGTAAATATAGCTCAACATGCAGACTTCTTATACGTTCAGGTATTTCACATCCAATTTTTTATGGAAATATTCTTTATAAAGCACAAAAATGTCAGTATTCACCTCTGAAGCTAACAAAACCTTTAAACAGACTTATTAAGAAGGGATATAGTTACGATACTGTTGTCAGGTCATTAAAGATTGCATATTTTGGCGTTAATATTGATTCATTTATAGGGTCTTTGCATCGGCACTAAACACATTTATTTAAAAACCAGTTGTTGGCATGACACGGGTTATGTTCTTCTCATATATGTTATGATGGTATGATACTAAACCCCTAACGGGAAGGATTGTGCCTGATATTCATATGATGAAGACATAATCTTTCAATCAGTTTAATTGAAGTCTGGAGCTGGCATGTCAGTTAACTGCTAGTAGTCTGTTGTTATTTATGTATTATTGTCATTTTGTTTATTTTCTTTGGTTACATCTTCTGACATCAGACTCGGACTTCTCTTGAACTGAATTTTAATGTGCGTATTGTTATGCGTTTACTTTTCTACATTGGCTAGAGGTATAGGGGGAGGGTTGAGATCTCATAAACATGTTTAACCCCGCCGCATTTTTGCGCCTGTCCCAAGTCAGGAGCCTCTAGCCTTTGTTAGTCTTGTATTATTTTTAATTTTAGTTTCTTGTGTACAATTTGGAGTTTAGTATGGCGTTCATTATCACTGAACTAGTATATATATTTGTTTAGGGGCCAGCTGAAGTACGCCTCCGGGTGCGGGAATTTCTCGCTGCATTGAAGATCTGTTGGTGACCTTCTGCTGTTGTCTGTTCTATGGTCGGGTTGTTGTCTCTTTGACACATTCCCCATTTCCATTCTCAATTTTATTCAAATGTGAAGCTAGTTTACGTTTCTCTAGATATAAGAAGATGTGGTATGAGTGCCAATGAGACAGCTCGCCTTCTAAGTCACAATTTTTAAAATGAAAACCATTATAGGTCAAAGTACGGTCTTCAACACAGAGTCTTGGTTCACACCGAACAGTAAGTTATAAGGTGTCCCCAAAATGACTAGTGTAAAACTATTCAAACGGGAAAAAAAACGGTCTAATCTATATACAGAATGAGAAACACTTATGAACCACATCTACAAACGACAACATAGAACATTAGAAGATAACAAAACCTTTAAACAGACTTATTAAGAAGGGATATAGTTACGATACTGTTGTCAGGTCATTAAAGATTGCATATTTTGGCGTTAATATTGATTCACTTAAAGGGTCTTTACATCGGAATTAAACACATTTATTTTAAAACCAGTTGTTGGCATGACACGGGTTATGTTCTTCTCTTAAATATTCTATGATTGTATAATACTGAACCCTTACCGGGAGTTGCCTGATATTCCTATGATGAAGACATAATCTTTCAATCAGTTTAATTGAGGTCTGGAGCTGGCATGTCAGTAACTGCTAGTAGTCTGTTGTTATTTATGTATCAATGCCATTTTGTTTATTTTCTTTTGTTACCTCTTCTGACATCGGACTCGGACTTCTCTTGAACTGAATTTTACTGTGCGTATTATTATGCGTTTACTTTTCTACATTGGCTAGAGGTATAGGGGGAGGGTTGAGATCTCAAAAAACATGTTTAACCCCGCCGTATGTTTGCGCCTGTCCCAAGGCAGGAGCCTCTGGCCTTTATTAGTCTTGTATTATTTTTAATTTTAGTTTTTTTGTGTTTAATTTGTTTAGTATGACGTCCATTATCACTGAACTAGTATATATATATTTGTTTAGGGGCAAGCTGAAGGACGCCTCCGGGTGTGGGAGTTTCTCGCTGCATTGAAGACCTATGGGTGACCTATTGGTGACCTATTGGTGACCTTCTGCTGTTGTCTGTTCTATAGTTGGGTTGTTGTCTCTTTGAAACATACCCCATTTCCATTGTCAATTTTAGAAAAGGATATTGTCTGTTTAAAAAAATAGAAGGTACAAAATTATTATGTCTGAACAACACTTAAATCTTATTCCGACATTACAGATGGAATTTTATTTCATGAATGAGGTCGGAGTGACTCGGTGTGCGCCTTTTCCTAAATTTCTCTTTTTTTTCTCCAGATCCCACCTTTGTTGTCCCCTTGATTTCATAACCCCAATTTTTATAATCCTATATCCAACATCCCCTTTTTGTAACCTCAACATCACCCCCTCTCTATATCCCACTTCGAGGGCTACTTGCAAGATTCATTTTGATCAAGATGAATTGTATGCCCAAAATTATCAGCCTGATATGGAACAGGATTAAAGTTTCGTGATCCCTGTTAAAAAAACAAAACCATTGTGAGTTTCTGTTTACATAACGAATATAAAATGGGAGCGGACGAGCTACAAAAAATATAATAGTATCAACAAAGAGGCAATATCGATAAATTTTTAATCAAATCATTTAAAATTTCTCAAATTACGACAAGAGTGCGCACGCTGAAATGTCTCGCCTTCTTTACTTATCATTGATATTATGTTGAGGGGGGTCGGATGGGTCCTGATCCCGAGATCCCGGGCTTAAAAACATGAAATCCCGAGGTTCCGAATTAAAAAATAAACAGCTGCGCCATGAGCGCATGATACGCCCTTCGTCTTGTGTGCAATAATCATAAATAGTTTCCGAGATACAGCGTGACATATGAAAACCCACCTTTTTTAACAAAAAACTCAATAATAACTCTAAACCAAAATTTTGAATCATCACCAAAAAGTATACAGATCTTAAGATAAATATAACTAAGAAGTGTGTAAAGTCTTAAGCAATAATCATAAATTGTTTTGGAGATACAGCGTGACATGTGATAGCCCCCCCCTTTTTTTTTTACAAAAAACTCAATATTCCTAAAATAAAATTTTGAATAAAAACCGAAAAGTATACAGATCTTAAGATT